GTAGAAATCTTTGCTCTTGATTATGATGCTATACTATCTGCCATGTATGCATTGACTGTTAGTGCAGAGGGTAACTGTTACCTGTGTATGCCGCCATACCCAGGTATAGAGGCTGCTGCTCTAGGTGCTAGTGAGTCTGCTCCTCTAGGTGCTGATGAGTCTGCTCTCTCTGGTACTGCGTCTGCTTCGGCCGTGCACACCTTCACGCTTGACTCAGGTGCTTCCCGCTATTTCTTTCGCGACAGTACCACAGTCACACCACTCTCTGCACCTGTTGCTGTCTCTCTGGCTGACCCCTCTGGGGGACCAGTCCTTGCACGTTCCTCCACTGTTCTGCCTTGTCCGGCGGTTCCGTCTGGCTCACTATCACGTCTCCACCTCCCCTCGTTCTCTACGAACTTGGTGAGCAACGAAGTCCTTCATAATCAGTGGGTCGATACCTTCACCCCTGGAGGACAGCGTGTGGCGATTTGAACGTGCTCCCGGACTGGCAGGCACCTGGTCAAGTTCACCCGTCGGCCTGGGTCGAGTCTGTACACACTGACTACTACGCCTCCTCAGGTAGCTGCGTCTGCGTCCGCGTCAGGTCAGCTTGCGGCCCCCTGCTCGTGTCGCGCCCTGTCGCACCAGATGCTCCTTTGGCACCACCGCCTTGGCCACCCCTGTGTGGCACGCCTCCGTGACATGCACTCCCGTCTCCTTGTCTCTGGTCTTCCCAGGTCTCTGCCTCCCCTCCCACCCTCGCCTGCCCCTCCATGCCTTCCCTGTGTCGAGGGGCGGCAGCTCGCCGCTCCTCACTCCTCGTTCCCCCAGACAGAGGCTCCCCTGCAAACTCTCCACATGAACGTGTGGGGCCGAGCCCGCGTCCGTGGACAGGGCCATGAGCGGAACTTTCTGCTGGTTGTCGACGACTACACGCGTTACACCACGGTCTTCCCCTTGCGCCGCAAGGGGGAGGTCCCTGATGTTCTGATCCCCTGGATCCGCGCTGTTTGTCTCCAGCTCCGCGAGCGTTTCAAGACGGATGTTCGAGTCCTGCGTCTGCACTCTGACAGAGGTGATGAGTTTTCCTCCGACCTCTTGCGGGGCTTTTGTCGTGGGGAGGGCATTCGCCAGAAGATCACGCTACCGGCCTCTCCGCAGCAGAATGGGGTTGCTAAGCGCCGCATTGGCTTAGTCATGGAGGTCACTCGTACCTCCATGATCCATGCGGCTGCCCCCCATTTTCTGTGGCCGTTTGCAGTCCAGTACGTTGCGCGTCAGCTCAACCTCTGGCCTCGTGTCTCCTTGCCGGAGACCTCGCCCACACTGCATTGGATGGGGGAGGTTGGCGATGCGTCGGTGTTCCGGGTCTGGGAATGTCGTGCTTTTGTCCGCGATACCTCTGCGGACAAGCTCTCCTCCCGCGCCTGGCTGGCAGTTTTACCACCCCACCTCGCGCCGTGTCCTGTCCTCTCAGGACGTCACGTTTGACGAGTCGGTTCCCTTTTACCGTCTCTTCCCCTACCGCACTGCCCCTCTCCCTCCCCCTCCACTCTTCCTCGCACCAGGTCCTCCTCCGGTAGACCCCCTACCCCCTCTTTGACCTACTCCCTCAGGTGTGTCCCAGGTAGACCCTGTTGAGCCTGTCGAGGTCGATGTCGACTCTGGTGCTGCTAGAGGTGTTGTGTCTGGGGGTGCTGAGCCTGCGGGTGCGAAGCCTGGGGGTGCTGAGCCTGAGCGTGCGGAGCCTGGAGGTGCTGAGCCTGGGGGTGCTGAGCCCGAATGTGCTTAGTCTGGAGCTCCTTCGGGCGTCTTGTCACGACGAGAGTCTCTCTCTCCACAGCAGCTGCGCGAGTGGTTTGCTCGGCGCTGGAGCCTCTGGAGTGGTGCTGCTGGAGCTGGAGCTGCTGGAGGTGCTGGAGCCGCTAGTCCTGGAGGTGCTCGTGCTGGAGGTACTGGAGCTACTGGGGCTGGAGGTGAGCCTGGAGCTGGAGTTGCTGGAGGTGTTGGAGCAGCTGGTTACAGAGGTGTTCGTACTGGAGGTATCGGAGGTGCTGCTGGAGCTGGAGCTGATGAGTTTCTGGAGCTTCTGGAGCTGGGGGTGCTGGTGGAGCTGGAGCTGCTGGAGGCGTTGGAGCTGCTGGAGGCCGTGCAGCTGGAGGTGCTGGCCCTTGGGGTGCTAGTGCCCTCGGAGCTGGTTCTGGAGGCGCTGTGCGTCCGCGACCGTACTTCGTTCCACTACTTCAGCAGGTTCTTAGTCTCCCGCCCTCTACTGACCTTACTCCTCCCTTACCGTGTCCACCGCCTGATCAGTCACAGCCACAGCTACTGCCAGCCCCTCCACTACCGGCTCCTTCTCCTTACACTGAGCAGCCCGGTGGTCTTACAGAGTGTCGTGAGCCTGCGTCTCGTCCTGCGTCGCGTGTTCGCGCTGTTCGCACAAGTCATTGTGTTCCACGTCAGCGTCCTCCTCCTGTCCCCGGCACGCACCAGGTGGCACTTCGTCCTTCCTCTAATCCACTGCGTGTCCCTCTGCCGTCTCCTCCTGCGTCCTCTCTTGGTGACGGACCGGACCCTGAGCCCGACTCACTTCGTGCTGCTAGTCCTGCTGTCACACGTCTTCTGGCCACTGTTGTCACTGACCCTTCCTTTCAGACCACTGTAGCGGCTGCCCTAGTTGCTGAGCTTGTTGACTTTGCTGCCGCCTGACGCCTAGACTACGCCGCTAGTGTTTTTGCTGAGTCTGAGTCTGTCTGTCCTCTGTCCGTCGGGGGTGAGTGTGCTCTTGGCACGGACGTCCTTGAAGACAGGCAGGAGGACTTTGAGTGCTTTGCAGCTGCTGTGCCTCATCTCGTGTCCATGCTGATTGCACCTGAGGGAGACCTGGATGCACCAGACATCTTACGCAGAGGCGATAGAGGGTCCCTACTCCTCTCAGTGGCAGACAGTCATGGACGCAGAGATGGCATCCTGGAAGTCCACAGGCACTTACGTCGACGAGGTTCCCCCACCTGGGGCGAACATCGTCAGCGGCATGTGGATTTTCAGGGTGAAGCGGCCGCCAGGTTTTCCGCCTGTCTTCAAGACGCGTTACGTTGCACGAGGCTTTAGTCTGCGACAGGGAGTTGATTTCTTCCAGACCTTCTCCCCTACCCCGAAGATGACCACTCTTCGGGTTCAGCTGCACGTCGCCGCTCAGCGTGACTACGAGCTTCGCTCTCTTGACTTCAGCACTGCTTTCCTACAGGGCAGCCTGCATGAGGAGATCTGACTGCGCCGCCCACCTGACTTCACAGGGTGGTATCCTGCAGGTACCCACTAGAGCCTCCGGCGGCCAGTCTACGGTCTCTCCCAGGCGCCTCGCGAGTGGCACGACACACTGGGTTTGCTCCTTTGACTGCTGACCCGTCGTTGTTTCTGCGTACCGACACTTCGTTGCCGCCGTTCTACATCCTCGTGTACGTCGACGACTTGGTCTTTGCCACTGCTGACACTGCTGGACTGGCCCACGTGAAATCGGAGCTGCAGAAGAGACACACGTGCACAGACCTGGGTGAGCTGTGCAGCTATCTTGGCTTGCATATCACCCGGGACAGAGGAAAGCGCACCATCACCTTGACTCAGTCACACATGGAGCAGCAGGTCGTTTAGCGCTTTGACGTACAGTACTTCTTGCCACAGTCCACTCCTCTGCCTACCGGTCACTCGCTCTCAGCTCTGCCTTCGGATGAGTTCGTAGAGCCGAGTGGCCCGTATCCAGAGCTTGTGGGCTGCCTCATGTACCGGATGACCTGCACTCGACCTGACCTTTCTTACTCTCTTAGCATCCTGGCACGCTACGTTGCGCCCGAGAGACACCGACCAGAGCACTGGAAGGCCGCTAAGAGGGTGATGCGCTACTTGTGCAGTACGTCGGGCATGGGGCTCGTGCTTGGAGGACAGGCTCGAGTTGTCCTGGGTCACGCAGACGCTTCTTTGGTTGACGACTTGGCTACGCAGCGGTCGTCACAGGGTTACACCTTCAACCTTGGCTCCGGCTCTGTTTCGTGGCGGTCTACCCGCTCGTCTTCTGTTCTCAGCTCCGATTGTGAGGCTGAGATCTATGCAAGGGCCATGGCTACACAGGAGTTGCTGGCTCACCTACCTGCTGACCGACTTGGGAGAGCTGCCTCATTCTCCTCCAGTTCTGCACGTCGACAACAAGGCCATGGTACCTTGTGTCAGGAGCACAGAACGAAGCACATCGCTCTCCGCTACTTCCTTGCTCAAGATTTGCAGCAGCATGGTCAGCTTCGTCGTGTTTACATGGATTCTCAGGCCAACACTGCTGATATCTTCACCAAGGCACTTCAGCCTTGTGATCATCAGCGTTTCTGTACTGTTCTAGGCCTTGTGCCTACCTTGCCTCACTTGCTCATTTCTTGACTTTGCCTGTACTGTGATCTATATACTTAAACCTGCACGTTTGCACTTGCTAGGTTGTGATCACTGTACTGCTTGTCCTCCTTTATATGTATAACTCTGCATGTGAGCTGGCCTTGTGGCCACTTGCTTGTGCTCAGACTGGGTGGTGACTTCGTGATCCACCCTGAGCTTGCTTTGTTTTGTCGTTTCTCTTGACTGGTATTGTGACCGCTGCTTTCTCTGGCTATCCCCCATTTCACCTATGGGGGTGTGTCAAAACATATATGCTTATGTTGTTTAATCTCTATGGGTGTTAGCATTGCGTCTAATGGTGACACAATTTGCCTGGATTCCTTTCGCCTTGACTAGTGCATCTGAAGGAAATTCTTTCCAACAAAAAACCCATTTGCTGACACCAACAAAGCAAACCATCTACATGCGTAACCTAAACAATTTTGCTAATTGTTTTTCTGTTTGTGATTCTATCATTGATAAGGTTACATGCACCTCTTTCATCATTCCCCTCCAATCTCTTTCCTTCTCCATTTCATCATTCACAACAGGCCAAGTACTGCAAATACGACTCACTTGACACTGTATGGGTGGCTTGGGGCATGGTGGTGTGCTTATACGGAGGGGGAGTGAGCAACGACGAGAAGGCAGCAGATGTGGCACGTGGCAAAGGCTTAGCGCTGCTTATAGTGAATGTGATGCCGGCTGATGATGCGTCATTCACCCGATACGGCACCCTCCCTGCAATGACTCTCTTCCCTCCTAACGATGCGATTCTGAACGAGTACCTGCTGACAGCAAGGTATGCGATGTGTGCAATTTTCTGTCATGTGGCACGGATTATAGTAAAAGTAATATGCTGGCTTTCAGAAATACAAGCATCTGAAACTCCCTTCATCTCCCTGCCTACCTCCTTGTCCCCCATCCCCACTTTTGAACATTTTCATTTTTCACTCCTCATTTTTTAACACGCCGTTGCTTTTTCATTTATTTCAGTTTATAGTGAAACTCCCCCTCCTCCCATGGGTCTATCCCAAACACTTCTTTTCAACCCACCCCCCAGCCCCACAGGCACCATGTCATATGGTTTCACTCAAAACACCGGTGGTGCCGCGGCAGCCATGGCCCATTTCTCTTCCATCGGCCCTCTCGTCCTCCCCTCCACCGTTCCTCCTCCCTCGTTCCCCACCAACGACATCTCAAAGCCCGATGTCATCGCCCCGGGCTATAACCTCTGGGGCGCTGCACCCAGGACGTCCCCCGGGGCAGCTATGTCGATCACTACTAAGGCTTTAATGAGTGGGACGTCTATGGCTACACCACAAGTTGCAGGGATTGCGGCGCTTATAATGCAGAATAGGACCAATTGGACGCCGTCGCAGGTCATGTCGGCACTTATGACGACGGCTAACGTCAAGAACAACAAGGGCGTGGCGATCAAGAGTTACAACAATACTGCAGCCACACCGTGGCAAATGGGAGCTGGACACGTGGACGCGAGCAAGGTGCTGAACTCGGGCCTTACGTACAGTTTGACTGGGCAGGATTTCTACAACTTTTTGGCCGGGCAGAATCTGACAATTGCACAGTCATTGGTTGCTGCTGGTACTGTTCTGACACCGATCCCTGCTTACAACCTCAACCGGCCGACGATTTCCGTAGGACGGCTTACAGGGAGTCTGACTATAACAAGGACGGTGACGAGTGTGGGGAGTGCAGTGTCAACTTACAACGCTACTGTAGTGACTCCCACCGGGGTTACGCCAAAGTCTTTCACGATTGCTCCTTGCGGGTCGGTGACGTTCAACGTAACGTTAAAGGTGGTAACCGCGTACAATGATTTCAGATACGGGAGTCTGACGTGGAAAGATGGAAAGAGTGTGGTTACATCTCAGATTGCAGTGGTCCCCTGGTCCGTCTAGCCCCACTTGGCTGGGCTGGGGTGTACCGTGTACCAGTATCATTCCTGTATCAGTTTGTAGTTTCTGTTTGGCTTGTATTTTTATTACCTGGTGGGTCAGAAGGTGTCTGGTGTGTTAAAGTGTAGATGACATACAGGTACCATGTGCTCAATGTATAAAAAAGTTTTACTGGTCCTTCCTGCCTAATTGTTTGGATAAGTTAACAGACAGCTATGATTTCCTGCCCGTGCCTCAACAACATGCAGCCGCAGCACCAGCAGTTCTTATACTTGCCCACTCTATGCAGCCACCCCACACGCCACCGCGGAATGTACCCCTTGCCTGCCCGCGCCTCGTCAATCTGTAGTCGGATCAGCAGCTGTAGCACAGGTAACTTGACTTCATACACTTAAAAAGGACCACTAGGTTTTATATTTGCCCACTCTATGCAGCCACCCTACACGCCTCCACGGAATGTACCCTTTGCCTGCCCGCGCCTCGTCAATCTGTAGCCGGATCAGCAGCTGTAGCACAGGCAGCGTGTTGTTAAATTTCTCCCCCTGCTCGTGCAAAAGGCACGGGAACCCCCCCGTGTGTCTGTTGCGCAGGCCCAAGTGCAGCGCGGACGGCCACGCGGGGAGGGGCGAGAGGGGAAGAAGCGGGGGAACGGGTTGCGCTTGCCTGCTGCCCCTGCTGCCGCTGCCGCCGCCGCTGCTACTGCTAGCAAGGCTGTTCCGCTCCTCTCCTTCCAGCTGTTCCTGCTGCTGCTGCAGCTGCAGGCGTTGGATCTCCCTCAAATCAACGACCTCGTAATCCTCATCGTTGGTTCCTAGAAGGTTCTGAACCAAGCCGTTCATGTGGTCTAGAACGATTACGGGTCGCGCCGCGAGTCGCGCCTCCATAGTCCAGATTTTATCTTCAAACCGCCATTCGCGCCTCAACCGCCGCCGCAAACTGCCCTGCTGCTCGTCTGCCCATTTGGATATGAACGGGAGCAGTTGCGTTTGGTTCAAAAATAACCGAGTGTATTCCCGTTGATCGTCAAACCAATCAACGGGGTTCGCTAAAGCGGCTTTAAGCGCAACAGTAACTGCCCACGCGTATCCTACATACGTCCCCGCGTTGAGGTACTTGAACTGCGTGTTTACCGCCGCTGCTTCCGGCGGGAGCTGTGGATATTTATCCTCGAGTCTATCTGGGTAACAGTACGGCTCTGCGCCGAAAACGATCGGCGCGTTGAAACTCAGAAACGCCGAGATGATACGGGAGGTGGAACAGGATGGCACGGGCGTTACATCGAGCGCGTCCGTCGCGATGACGATGCGGTCGGGCGGCAAGCTTTGGACGTACTCGAGCACGGCTACCAGACGGGAACGGAATCCGTTCCACTGTTGATGCAACCCGACAACTGCCAGCGGCAGGTTAATCATGCTGGTGACGTCAGCGATACGATTTAATCCCACGGCGGAGAAGGTGGAGTAAGTAACCCATTCCGCTTTGCAGTTATTCCCGCGCTCGCGCCGCGGAAATTCCGAAGCGCTGGTCCACGTGGGCGGGTACGTGGACGGATTCTGGTCGTCGAAGTCAACGCTGGGGTCGTTCGCCGCGTCCGCCGCTGGCGACCTTTTAACGCGTCGCCTGCTTTGAGAAAGCTTTCTTCCGGCGCTTGGAGCCGACGTGGACTCGTCACCGTTACTTCCGCCGTCATCCTCACCGCTGTTTCCGCCGCCGTAGGTGAACCACTCCCACGCTTCTTCGCACCCGTCGCGTGGCGGCTCGGATTTTTCAATCTCCTCTGGGAAAACTTCGTTGTCGCTATCTTTCGAAGGCTGGTTTGCCGCCCTTGTCGCCGCAAGTCCCGCTTCTGCCCGTTGTGCAGCTGCCTTCGCAGAAGCCGAGGGGGCTATCGGGCAGAAAAAATATTTCGATCGGGAAATGTACAGTATTGCGGTGCTAATGCACGGCGCCTTCTCAATTTCGTTGTAGATCACACGCGTGCCCAAAATGGACAGCAGGGCCATTGTGATTACAATGAAGGCCATTTTCCGGAACGACGGGCTGAGTACTAGCGAAAATTGCTTTCCCGCTGGGGTCATAGTATAGCTTCTACGCGCGGCTCGCAATGATATTGTCATAATAACCAACCTACTAAGTGTGCCTTCGCGAAACCAGAACTTCTGAAGAGCTCGATGGAGAAGCCAAAGTTCAAAGGACTCGTGAGCGACCTGGGATGGAATAATCCGTTTTGCCGATGGAGTGAAGAGCCTGAGACTTGGGTCATCACAAAAAACCCGGAGTTCAACCGAGTTGGTTTTTAGGGCGCTTCACCTCTCAGTTCGAACAGCACGGTTGTTCGAACAGGCGAAATGTTACATTTTTCGCCACTCCTCGTATGGGTGTTCGTGACGTCGCTAGTCGGAAATTTCGCGAATTTGAAACAGAGTTGTCACACGGGGCACGAAGCTCTCCATTCCGCACGTTCGAACAGAGTTGTTCGAACAAAGTTGGGTTTGGTGACAGGAATTCCGCATGGACGACTGATTTTATTGGTTAGCAGGCTTCGGGTCGCACACGAATGTTTGCGACCATTGCAAATGTCGCCATGCAGGAGAAAGTTCATCGATAAGGACATTGTTGTTGGGAAACAACAAGGTGAGCAGTAGTAGAAGAGCACGAAGAGACTGTTTGACTGGATGGGCGAAAAATGAGTCAAACTTGAATGGCAGACGACTGAATTATTTTTTTGCGACGTTTCGCGAAGTCGTCCAACACTTGGCGACGTCGCATGTTCGAACAGGCTGTCACCTCTAGTCACGAGCTGTCACATTCACCAAGGTGTTCAAATTTGTGTTCGGATCTCGTCGGGAAACTGTTCGTACGGTGAATTCGTTACGTATGTTCGGATTTGGGCCTTCCAGCCCCGAGGTGATGCGCCCTTAGCGTGCGGATTGACGACTCCTTCCAAATTCCTTCGGCTGACCATCGATCATGTCCAAATTCGAACGAGACTTGAAGTCAATTGACCATCGATCCGTAGCACTCAAAGTCAATCGCAAGACCCAAAGCGAGGATACCTAGGCTTGGAGGGGAGGGGCACGCAATTGGAGGTTCGGATGGTTGCAACCCTATCTCATCGAGATACTCAAATTATGCCAGAGACATCGGTACTGAACCTCGATTTCTCATCGCTGATTGGTGCTCGCTTTCAATCACACTTTTCATGCTAATAACACCAGCGAAATGTAACAGAAACAGAACGCAAATACCGAACTCAAATGTACACTATTGTGCCGAGGTGCTGTGTAAGATTAAAAAAAAACATTGAATACTCAACCAATTAAAAATTAAATCAAGCGCGAATTGCGTAAAGATCAAAAACCCCATTGGGAAAAAGAATGCAGACTCGGGATAACTCAACGGATTAGGGTTGACGGTGTTGGAAACAGTGAATCTTAAGCGCCTCTGTAGTGTCGAAATACCAAGGCACAAGCGAAGCAGAGCATATCGAAGCACCCGCGAGTCAACCCTCGGAGGTTGAAGCAACTACTGGAGGTTACGCGAAAGTCAAAGGTCAGTGACCTTTGACCTGACAAATACAGCGCGACAGTTAAGGACACACAACTGACTCGTTACAGAGCAGTTGTCCGAGTCGTACTCTATCGAACCGCAACAGCAAACAGTAAAGTAGTTATAACCGTACTCTTTCATATTCCTTGTACTATTATATAATCTTGTATCTCCTTGCTATAATCAATCTACTTTGCCCTCAAATACTAGCGCAAGGTGGTTCACAACATCTTCATTAAGCTTCCGCTGTTACAACGCTGCTCTACCCAGAGTTCTCCCTTGCAAAGATCCTAAGGGCTTTTCTCAGCCCAACATGGTATGAGAGCTCACAGGGGAAACTCTACCACTATCAAGTCATCAGAAGCATTACAAGACATGGCAACACTGAAGGAAAGGAGTTCCTCTAACGGTTCTCCTGGCACTACTCCTACTCCACCTCCTGCCTCTGGCCTACAGATAGAGGAGGGCACGACAACAAGACCAAGAGCAACGTCCACTGAGACTCCTGCGAACCAACCCCAAGGCTTCGATCAGGACATGATGGAGAAATTCTTCTCCTTCATGTCCTTCTACGAGCAACACCAGCAATCGGCTCCTACGAAGTCACACAACAGCAACAACAACGGAGCGACACCCATGAGTCTCGATGGCTCTTCATACGCACGAGGAAATCAACAACAGCCTACCTTTGCCCCGTACGAGCGCGGCTCCACCAGCTTCATGCCACAACAGCAGCCCACAACTGGACAGGAGAAGCCATTGGACGCGTTACAAGTCCAGTCACAGTTCGCGCACGTCTTAAAGCTGCAGACATCAACTCCCTTCGACGGGAAGGATTTCTTTACCTGGTCTTTTGAATTTGAACTGATGATGGAGGGCGCGCAGATACTTGGGTTCTTCGACGGATCCCTGCCATATCCAGCGAACGGCACACAGTATGAGAAGCAGCAGTACACGTATCAATCGATGATGGCGTACACTATTCTACTGAGGAACATCACTCCGACTCAACAGCAGAACATACGGTCTTACCGAGGATACGGCAACTCCGCGGAGCTCGCATACAATCACTTGAAGAGCCTGTATCAAGCAACAGACAGTGTAAATCAGAGTCGGTTAATGGCGCAGTTAACAACGGTTGAGATGAAACCAGGCGAAAAGGGGATGGCATATATCAGTCGATGTCGCGAGATGCGCGACAGGCTCCTTCGATGCGGAGGATCAATTGCGGAAGACGCCTTCGTCACGGTCGTCATCACTGGACTTGGTCCTCATTGGCACTCCACCCGAGCTATTCTCCGAGCTCATGGAAAGATCTCGGAAGCAGCACTTTGCGCCGATATCCACGCCGAGCAACAAGATATGGACCTGCAAGAAGAAAGGCACAAGAAGAAAACGTCAGTACCTGAATTCGCGTTCCATACTCAGCGACGCTACAACAACAACAACAATCGACAGCAACAACAGAAGTCCGTACCTCCGTTTTGCCACATCTGCAAAACCTCAGGACACCCGCGTACTCACTGTCCGAATCGTCACCAGTTAACGACTTCACAGCGACAACTTCGATCTTCAAGCAGTCAGGTCGCGTCAACACAAGCAAATCCAACGGCATCGATCCAAGCTTCAACGACTTCAACGGGACAACCTGCAAAAGGAGCAAGAAACATCGTCAGCTGCATGGCAAGACTGTCTGATTCCTGCATCACTGGATCGCCGCCGCACTACTCACCAGAAGAACAACTTGATGAAAGAACCCCACGCCGCGAGACACTGGAGCCAAACCCGACATACGCAGCCATCGCCCAAAGCGAGCCATCCGGGAAGGACACATGGTTCTTGAACAGTTGCTGCGGACAACACATGTGTTCTTCGGGGCGCTTCGTGCAGAAGGAATACCAACTTCAACGAGAAGTCGTCATCACCGTCGCCAATAATCAAAACCCGCGCACACGACGACAAGGGGTTGTTCAACTTCAGTCACGAGAGACAAATGTTATACTGCAAATGTCAAAAGTACTAATTGCGGAAGGACTCGGCTACAACATACTGAGCGTCAGTCAGTTGATGGCGAAGGGCATTCACCTCGAAGCAGACAGCACCACGCAAGCATTCAAGTTATACCACGGGAGAGGAGGTCTCTACATCAGGAAAGCAATCTTGAAGAACAACGTCTTCGTCCTGGACTTCGTACCCGATCTCGGCACCGCCGACAGCGACGCAATAGTCAACTTCATCAACTGGACACACCCTCCGGACCTCGATC